CCCCCCCGCACCTCCTGCGCCCGTGTGTGCGGTTCCGGACGGCCTGTTGGGGACCCCGCCGGCACAGGCCGATTGCACTGACCGCATTTTATGTATTTTATTTCCTATGTATTTTTTCCCTTAGTATTTTTATTGCAACATCAAGTGACTTAGAGGACTGTTTACAACTGCAGTGCTCGGCCTTTGAGACAATTAAAAAACTTTTTAAGAACTAGAATTTTAGGGCTCGGCTGGGGCTGGGGCTGGGGCTCAGCGGTAGAACTCTCACCTAGCATGTGGGAGGCTCCGGATTGATCCTCAGCACCATCTAAAAATAAATAAAATAAAGATATTGTGTTCAGCTACGACTAAAAAATATTTTAAAAAAAGAACTAGAATTTACATAATGGTTTGTTTGACTTGTTACTGTAGTAAAAACTAAGGGAAGAAATTTTGAAGCAGAAATACAATGATTTTCACACAAAGAGAGACTTATATTCCTCCCTTACATCATACAAAGGGAGATAAAGGGGCTGGGGTTGTGGCTCAGTGGTAGAGTGCTTACCTAGCACATGTGAAGCACTGGGTTTGATCCTCTGCTCCACATAAAAATAAATATAATAAAAGGGAAGAAGAAAGAAAAGAAAAGGAAAAACGACAGAGGATAAAAAATGTGGCATATATACAATGGAATATTACTCAGCAATAAAAGAATAAAATCATGGCATTTGCAGGTAAATGGATGGAGTTAGAGAAGATAATGCTGAGTGAAGTTAACCAATCCCCCAAAACCAAATGGCTAATGTTTTCTTTGATCTAAGGAGGCTGGCTCATAGTGGGGTAGGGAGGGGGAGAATGGGAGGAATAGATGAATTCTAGATAGGGTAGAGGGGTGGGAGGGGAAGGGAGGGGGCAGGGGGTTATTAGTGATGGTGGAATATGATGATCATTATTATCCAAAGTTCATGTATGAAGGCATTAATTGGTGTGAATATACTTTGTATACAACAAATGCATTACGATTCCTTTTACACATATAGAGCACAATTTTTCATATAATGCTAAGTTAGCCAATCCCAAGAAAACCAAATGGCGAAAATTGATATGAAAAATTGTGCTCTATATGTGTAATAGGAATTGTAATGCATTTTGCTGTCTCATATATATATATATATGTGTGTGTGTGTGTAAGGGAAAATCTTTTTTTCCCCTTGTTTGCAGAAAGGAGGAAAGCTCTAGGTCTCAGCAAATATGGAACCAACCAGGTCAGTTAAGGGCTCAGCATCTTCTCTGCAGATGTTTGAATCCTGTCATGCCTTTCCCTTTCCTTGTTGCCAGCAGCACCCCAGGGAAATGGCCTCATGGTTGGCTGAAGTCCTGCCACCCACATGACAAAGAACTAACTCTTGGATCATCATTTGGGCCCCTGTTGGTTCAATTTTGGTGTCTGTGATGGGCTCCCATTCTTAGACTTGTCACCACCTTGGAGAAGTCCTTTGACACTTCCCATCTATTCTTACCCCCTGTGCAATCTTGATAATTCGTGTCAAAGCTCCTTGAGCATCTCTTCTCCTCCTGTCTTCTGATTCCTCTCGGTTTGCTCACTGGAAACCTTGGCGCCATTGGCACCATCTGGTTTGGGCCCAACATACTGTCTGTTACTGTCATTAATTGCTTCAGCCTTGCCCTTGACTGCTGTTCATTTCCTTTACTCATAAAATATGTTTCAAAATCAGGGATCATTCCCAAGATCCGACTCAACTGGCCCATTTTCATGGCATATGTCTTGCAATGAAACTGACTGTATTTCAGCTTCTCTAGAAGTGCTTCAGAGTCATCCAGCTTCAGCTTGTTAACGTCACTGTCACCTACACCCAGAAGTTTGCTGAGGAAAGGCTGTTTTGAAAGGTTCCAATCCATCTTCATGTTCCCCTACGTTGATGAAAATCACTGGATTTTTTTGTGGCAGCAACTGCCTGAGTCCCCCATCTCCTTTTGCATGACCACCAAGTTTTGTCACTGTTACTGAGGCCACTTTAATCTTTAAAAGCCTTAGCCTGGGTTTCAGACACCTGCCCAGTGTAGGTGTCTGTCACCTAAACAGTGTCATCAGGTTATACAGCGTGAGCAGCTTGAAACCTTTCTTCAGAGAGTCCTCTTGCTTGTGGTGGCCACTTATATCAACAACAATAATAATCTCAAATTTTTCATTTTTAAAGTATTTATTTTAATTTTTTTAGTTGCAGATAGACACGATACCTTCATTTATTTATTTTTATGTGGTGCTGAGGATTGAACCCAGTGACTTCCACATGCGAGGTGAGCCCTCTACCACTGAGCTACAACCCCAGCCCTTTAAATATTTTTTAGTTGTAGGTGGACTCAATATCTTTATTTCATTGTTATGTGGTGCTGAGGTTTGAACCCAGTGCCTCACATGTGCTAGGTGAGCGCTCTGCCACTGAGCCATAGCCCCGCCCCTCAGATTTCTCATTTTTGGATTTCTCCACTCTTTCAGGAGCAATGGAGCAGTTCTGTGTAGCTTCCCAGAGTGGAACTCTCACCTGGGTGGCATCAGGCTTTGCCTGGGCAGAAGCCCGTTGGGACATGCAGTCGTTCCAGCCTCCCTGGCAATCTGGCAAGCATGGTCACATTCCGTTTTTCCTTTGATGGGTGTCCTGCTTAAACTCCAGGGTCTGCAGCTCCCAGGGTCTTTAAAGCCAGCATGCTGACTCGCCTTTCTTAAGACCAGAGCAGTAGCAGACGCGGTGTGTTCTCTAGTCCTCCTCCAGTGTGACATTGGCATCCCCTTCCAGAAATGCCGCCTGTGCTTCTTTTGGCACAGCTTTTAATACTTCCTCCTTGATAAGGGTGGCGCTGCTCAGCGAACGTACCACTGATGCTGGTATTCCAAGATCCGCTAGAACCATCGGGAAGGGCCTAAGCGGTGCCTATAAGGAGTTCTGCTGCAGTGTGAAGGACTGGAGAGAACACGGGCTTCGGGGTCCGAGGTTACATACTGGCTGTGTTACTTTGAGCAAATTACTTAATCTCTCTGAGCCTCACTTTCCTCACCTTCCATTCAGCTGATGAGGAGACGGCATCACTCCGTGTAGTCCAACCTTTCTGGAAGAGGATGCACTTCTGCTTCCTGGCTCGGGGCTGCTTTTCTTCAGCTCACCTCCCATAAGGATTCCTGGGGTGTTTTGGTGTTTTGTTGTTTTTTTGGCTTTAGTCTTCTACCTTTGAATAACTGCAGCAGCAAAGTTAGTGGCAAACTAGGTCCTCTCGGGGCACAGTCAAGGGAAGAGAGTCAGACCTCAAAGTCTGGCATTTGGGGACCTACACCCCAGGGAGGACTCCCTCCCAGCTCTGGCAGCTCCCTAGAGACAGCAGGGGTTTGGGGTGGGGGTACATCCTTTATGCACCAATCAGCCAAACCAAGCCTCCTTCAAAGGCTCTCACACCCCTAGTCAGGATTTCTCCTGCACTAAATCACCCCAGGCTCAGGTGCCAGGCAGCTAGAGACAGCCCAGAGCCCTCTGGGACCACTCAACTGGGAAGCCGAGCCTGTTGCCCCTGCCTGCCTCCTTCCCCCCCAAAGCCTCAAGGAAGGCTCTGACCCAGCCTCTCTCCGCCTTGCTGCCCTGCCTCCTGACCCAGCCTGGGCTCCTCGGGTGGCCCTGTGTGGCCCCAGAGGTCGCTTCCCTAGGAGATGGAGTAAATCTTCCCGGGGCTTTGTCCTCCTCCTGGGGCTGCTCAGCCACACCTCCTCACGTGAAGTCCAGGCACAGAGCAGCCCCCGGAACACAGTGCGTCCTCACCATTGGCGGGCAGAGGTGCCCAGGAGCGGCTGGTGCCCCCAAATCAGCCAGTTGTTCGTATGGAGGAACCAGATTTCCTCCCCGTTCTTCCCTGACAAACCGCTGAGGCAAGGGCGGGAAGCAGAGGGCAGAGCGTGAGCAGGGCCGTCTGTGATGGAGCAGCAACTCCTTCCTTTGCAACCTGCTAGTTTCTGCTTCTGTAATCTCGCTTGCTCAGCAGCTGGGGCAGGAACCAGAGCTGCCTGGGAAGAGGGAAAGGTGTTACTGCTGTTGGCCGGTGACTAGTCCTTGCTTCCCCGATGTTGAAGAATAACACCAGAAAAGCA